AAGAGTGCTTGTATTGGCCAATAGCATCTGTATGTGTCCAAGAGTGCTTGTATTGGCCAATAGCATCTGTATGTGTCCAAGAGTGCTTGTATTGTCCAATAGCATCTGTATGTGTCCAAGAGTGCTTGTATTGTCCAATAGCATCTGTATGTGTCCAAGAGTGCTTGTATTGGCCAATAGCATCTGTATGTGCCCAAGAGTGCTTGTATTGTCCAATAGCATCTGTATGTGCCCAAGAGTGCTTGTATTGGCCAATAGCATCTGTATGTGTCCAAGAGTGCTTGTATTGGCCAATAGCATCTGTATGTGTCCAAGAGTGCTTGTATTGGCCAATAGCGTCTGTATGTGTCCAAGAGTGCTTGTATTGGCCAATAGCATCTGTATGTGCCCAAGAGTGCTTGTATTGGCCAATAGCATCTGTATGTGTCCAAGAGTGCCTGTATGGATCCAATTAGCTCCTGTACGTGTCCAAAAACTGAGCATACATGTCTTCAAGAACTGCACGCATGCTGGCCAAGCATTGAACACGCATGCTGGCCAAGCATTGCACACGCATGCTGGCCAAACATTACACACGCATGCTGGCCAAGCATTGAACACGCATGCTGGCCAAGCATTGCACACGCATGCTGGCCAAACATTACACACGCATGCTGGCCAAACATTACACACGCATGCTGGCCAAACATTACACACGCATGCTGGCCAAGCATTGCACACGCATGCTGGCCAAACATTGCACACGCATGCTGGCCAAGCATTGAACACGCATGCTGGCCAAGCATTGCACACGCATGCTGGCCAAGCATTACACACGCATGCTGGCCAAACATTACACACGCATGCTGGCCAAACATTCTGCACAATATTTTCTATTAAACTCGAGCACCCCCAATCCAACAGGGCCTCAGAACGAGTGAATAAATTATATTCACTCTCACTCCACGCCGTGAGTAAATTACATTCACCCTCACTCCACGCCGTGAGTAAATTATATTCACTCTCACTCCACGCCGTGAGTAAATTACATTCACCCTCACTCCACGCCGTGAGTAAATTACATTCACCCTCACTCCACGCCGTGAGTAAATTATATTCACTCTCACTCCACGCCAGGAACACATTAACTGGAAGAGGTTATATTCAACTCATCTCCGGGTGACTGTTCCTAACGTGAGTTGAGTCAGCATTAAGGAACTTGGTCAGTAGTTGAAGGGCTTTTGTGCGGTAATCTGGCCCGACTTTGCTTGTGTGTTCTGGACTCTCCTGATGCTGCTTTTGGTGTATATACGAGGAGAGTTTTTTGTGAAGGGGAAGCGGTGTTGGTTGGTAGTTCTCTACGATGTTGTCGGCAATTTGTTCCCTGTTGTAAAATTAAATATGTATATATGCTTATTGCTGTGTGTGTGTACTCACATAGTTGTACTCACCTAGTTGTGCTTGTACTCACCTGTGTGGGCGTGTGTGGGTGTGAGTATTTAACTAGTTGTATTCACATAGTTGTGCTTGCGGGGGTTGAGCTCTGCTCTTTTGGCTCGCCTCTCAACTGTCAATCAATCAACTGTAACTACAATTTCCCTCCCCCCCCACACATACACACAGGAAGCAGCTCAGAAACAGTTGTCTAACTCCCAGGTACCTATTTACTGCTAGGTAACATGGGCATCAGGGTGAAAGAAACTTTGCCTATTTGTTCCTACTTGGTCCGGGAATCGAACCCGGGCCGAATCGAATCGAACCCTGGCCACAGAATTACGAGTCCTGCGCGCCGTCCGGTCAGCTTCCAGACCCCCGTGTACTCACCTATTTATACTCACCTATTTGTGCTTGCGGGGGTTGAGCTTTGGCTCTTTGGTCCCGCCTTTCAACTGTCAATCAACTGGAGTACAGATTCCTGAGACTACTGGGTTCTATCATATCTATATTTGAAACTGTGTATGGAGTCAGCCTCCACCACATCACTGTCTAATGCATTCCACCTGTTAAACAGTGTGTGTTGTGTCCAAGAGTGCTTGTATTGGCCAATAGCATCTGTATGTGTCCAAGAGTGCTTGTATTGGCCAATAGCATCTGTATGTGTCCAAGAGTGACTGAATTGGCCAATAGCATCTGTATGTGTCCAAGAGTGCTTGTATTGGCCAATAGCATCTGTATGTGTCCAAGAGTGACTGAATTGGCCAATAGCATCTGTATGTGCCCAAGAGTGCTTGTATTGGCCAATAGCATCTGTATGTGTCCAAGAGTGCTTGTATTGTCCAATAGCATCTGTATGTGTCCAAGAGTGCTTGTATTGTCCAATAGCATCTGCATGTGTTCAAACAGTGGCTGTATGGATCCAATTAGCTCCTGTACGTGTCCAAAAACTGAGCATACATGTCTTCAAGAACTGCACGCATGCTGGTCAAACATTGAACACGCATGCTGGTCAAACATTACACACGCATGCTGGCCAAGCATTACACACGCATGCTGGCCAAGCATTACACACGCATGCTGGCCAAACATTGCACACGCATGCTGGCCAAGCATTACACACGCATGCTGGCCAAACATTACACACGCATGCTGGCCAAGCATTACACACGCATGCTGGCCAAGCATTACACACGCATGCTGGCCAAACATTACACACGCATGCTGGCCAAACATTACACACGCATGCTGGCCAAGCATTGCACACGCATGCTGGCCAAGCATTGCACACGCATGCTGGCCAAACATTACACACGCATGCTGGCCAAACATTACACACGCATGCTGGCCAAACATTACACACGCATGCTGGCCAAACATTACACACGCATGCTGGCCAAGCATTGAACACGCATGCTGGCCAAGCATTGAACACGCATGCTGGCCAAGCATTGCACACGCATGCTGGCCAAACATTGCACACGCATGCTGGCCAAACATTGCACACGCATGCTGGCCAAACATTGCACACGCATGCTGGCCAAACATTGCACACGCATGCTGGCCAAGCATTACACACGCATGCTGGCCAAGCATTACACACGCATGCTGGCCAAACATTACACACGCATGCTGGCCAAGCATTGCACACGCATGCTGGCCAAGCATTACACACGCATGCTGGCCAAGCATTACACACGCATGCTGGCCAAGCATTACACACGCATGCTGGCCAAGCATTGCACACGCATGCTGGCCAAGCATTACACACGCATGCTGGCCAAGCATTACACACGCATGCTGGCCAAGCATTACACACGCATGCTGGCCAAGCATTACACACGCATGCTGGCCAAGCATTACACACGCATGCTGGCCAAACAATCCGCACAATATTTTCTATTAAACTCGAGCACCCCCAATCCAACAGGGCCTCAGAACGAGTGAATAAATTACATTCACCCTCACTCCACGCCGTGAGTAAATTACATTCACCCTCACTCCACGCCGTGAGTAAATTACATTCACCCTCACTCCACGCCGTGAGTAAATTACATTCACTCTCACTCCACGCCAGGAACACATTAACTGGAAGAGGTTATATTCAACTCATCTCCGGGTGACTGTTCCTAACGTGAGTTGAGTCAGCATTAAGGAACTTGGTCAGTAGTTGAAGGGCTTTTGTGCGGTAATCTGGCCCGACTTTGCTTGTGTGTTCTGGACTCTCCTGATGCTGCTTTTGGTGTAAATATATACGAGGAGAGTTTTTTGTTAAGGGGAAGCGGTGTTGGTTGGTAGTTCTCTACGATGTTGTCGGCAATTTGTTCCCTGTTGTAAAATTAAATATGTATATATGCTTATTGCTGTGTGTGTGTACTCACATAGTTGTACTCACCTAGTTATGCTTGTACTCACCTGTGTGGGCGTGTGTGGGTGTGAGTATTTAACTAGTTGTATTCACATAGTTGTGCTTGCGGGGGTTGAGCTCTGCTCTTTTCGCTCGCCTCTCAACTGTCAATCAATCAACTGTAACTACAATTTCCCTCCCCCCCCACACATACACACAGGAAGCAGCTCAGAAACAGTTGTCTAACTCCCAGGTACCTATTTACTGCTAGGTAACATGGGCATCAGGGTGAAAGAAACTTTGCCTATTTCTTCCTGCCTGGTCCGGGAATCGAACCCGGGCCGAGTCGAATCGAACCCTGGCCACAGAATTACGAGTCCTGCGCGCCGTCCGGTCAGCTTCCAGACCCCCCGTGTACTCACCTATTTATACTCACCTATTTGTGCTTGCGGGGGTTGAGCTTTGGCTCTTTGGTCCCGCCTTTCAACTGTCAATCAACTGGAGTACAGATTCCTGAGACTACTGGGTTCTATCATATCTATATTTGAAACTGTGTATGGAGTCAGCCTCCACCACATCACTGTCTAATGCATTCCACCTGTTAAACAGTGTGTGTGTGTGTATTGACCTAATTGTTCTTGGAAAGGGGCGAGGGTTGAGATTTGGCTCGTTGGTACCTCCTTTCAACTGTCAATCAGCAGGTGAACAAGTTTCTGAGCCTATTGAGATCTATCATATCTACATTAGAAACCGTGTATGGAGTCAACCTCCACCACATCACTTTCAAGTGCATTTCATTTGTTTACTACTCAGACACTGACAACAAATATATTTCTAATGTCTCTGTGGCTCATTTGGGTACTAAATTTCCACCTGCGTCCCCGTCTTAAATTTAGTCTTTACTTTCCCAATCAATTCCCTTTGAAATTTTGTACGTGGTAACCAAACAACTCCTACCACTGTTAATAGTGGTAGTAGTAGTAATGGAGGAAACAGTAGTGGTAGCTTACGAACAGTAGTAGTAGTAGTGGTAGTGGTAGAAGTAGTAATCATCATCTTTTATATCTACTTCATCATCATATTTTATCAGCGCCATTGTGAGCCTCATTGTACCCAAGTAGAGACGTCTCGCTCTGACACTCGCTGGGCAGACCACGGCTGGTCGTGAGTCATGTTAGTTAGTGGCACACCGCAGCCGAGATTGTGTTAAAGCCGGCACATATATATACGCCACGAGTGACGAACGGCATCAGAAAGCTTTGAGGCAACTGACTGTAAACCTCCCATCGGTCTCTTGGCGTTTCTCGAGTATAATTTGATCTTTGAAATAGGGTTTCTAGTTGGCAAATGACACAGAAGAGTTAGATTTTGAGTTTTTTGTGATAAAGACAACTGGAGGGTTTTTGGGCTCAAGTGTATTGAAAATCCCAGCTGTGTTTTAAGAAATTTAGTAGTAAGAACATTTATATATATATCGGAATATATATAGAGTTTCAGATAAAGAACTTCAGACGCCAGGCTTTGATATCCATTTTAAATTAAAAATAATAATTTCTGTAGCCTGGTCCGTTGTCCAGGCTAGAAGTTGTAGAAACTTCACTTGCAACATAATTTTCACTCGTTAAAAAATATTACTGTTTGATGATTATAAGGAAATTATAAACGTTGAACAATTGTATTCAATTTCACCTGTACTGAAAAATGTGAAGCAGCTCTATCATTTTTTAAAAATGAGTAAGTACTTGTGTTTCATCAACTAAGTAATTTTACAATTCTTTGGTCAGAGAAAAGTTTGCATTTTTTTCCAAATCTGAATCTATTAAAAACTTAATTTTTTATTCACTGTTATTATTAGAAAAAAATTATGCCTACATAAATACAATCAGTTACTAAATATATATATATATATATATATATATATATATATATATATATATATATATATATATATATATATATATATATATATATATAGTGTGTGTGTGTGTGTGTGTGTACTCACCTAATTGTACTCACCTAATTGTGCTTGCGGGGGTTGAGCTTTGGCTCTTTGGTCCCGCCTCTCAACTGTCAATCAACTGGTGTACAGATTCCTGAGCCTACTGGGCTCTATCATACCTACATTTGAAACTGTGTATGGAGTCAGCCTCCACCACATCACTTCCTAGTGCATTCCATTTATTAACTACTCTGACACTGAAAAAATTCTTTCTAACGTCTCTGTGGCTCATCTGGGTACTAAGTTTCCACCTGTGTCCCCTTGTTCGTGTCCCACCCGTGCTGAAGAGTTTGTCTTTGTCCACCCTGTCAATTCCCCTGAGAATTTTGTAGGTGGTTATCATGTCTCCCCTTACTCTTCTGTTTTCCAGGGATGTGAGGTTCAGCTCCTTTAGCCTTTCCTCGTAGCTCAATCCTCTCAGTTCCGGGACGAGCCTGGTGGCATACCGCTGAATCTTCTCTAACTTTGTCTTGTGTTTAACTAGGTATGGACTCCAGGCTGGAGCTGCATACTCCAGGATTGGTCTTACATAAGTGGTATACAGGGTTCTGAAAGATTCCTTACACAAGTTTCTGAAGGCAGTTCTTATGTTGGCTAGTCTAGCATATGCCGCTGATGATATTCTTTTGATGTGGGCCTCTGGGGACAGGTTCGGTGTGATATCAACCCCCAGATCCTTCTCTCTATTTGATTCTTGCAGGATTTCCCCTCCCAGATGATACCTTGTGTTCAACCTCCTGCTCCCTTCGCCTAATTTCATCACCTTACACTTTCCAGAGTTGAACTTCAGCAGCCATTTTCTAGACCATTCCTCCAGTTTATCCAGGTCATCCTGTAGTCTCTGTCTATCTTCATCCGTCTTGATTCTTCTCATAATTTTTGCATCATCAGCAAACATCGAGAGGAATGAGTCTATACCCTCTGGAAGATCGTTCACATATATTAGAAACAGGATGGGTCCAAGTACTGAGCCCTGTGGGACTCCGCTGGTGACATCTCGCCACTCTGATGTCTTCCCCCTCACCGTTACTCGCTGTTTCCTGTTGCTTAAGTACTCCCTTATCCACTGGAGCACCTGTGTGTGTGTGTGTGTGTGTGTGTGTGTGTGTGTGTGTGTGTGTGTGTGTGTGTGTGTGTGTGTGTGTGTGTGTGTGTGTGTGTGTGTGTGTGTGTATACTCATCTAGTTGTACTCACCTAGTTGTGCTTGCGGGGGTTAAGCTTTGGTTCTTTGGTCCCGCCTCTCAACTGTCAATCAACTGGAGAGTGTGTGTGTGTGGACTAAAACTTAATAGGTCCAATAGGGTCAAGCACGTGTCCTTGCATATTATCATCTGCCATATACAATATATACAATATATTTTATGGTTTTAGTACAACATATTGGAAACTTAAAAGGTTGAAAGTTAGTTGTCAAAGGATGCAGAGTTGCTCAAGCTGCTCAGAGGATGGACGTGTATCGTGAATGCAGTGGGCAGTTTTTCCTCTGTACAGGTACACTGATGAACTGGAACAGGAAGTTTGTGTACAAAGGTTCTCGAGCTTGTAAGGCTGTGTTATATTTACTTTTAAAATGTGTGCATTTTGCCTACACCACTTTACTGCTGTGGCAGTGATTATTTTCTTTTTGTAATGTCTGTGTGGATCATTTGGTTATGTGTTTCTGTGATACTTTGTTCGTATACCAACTATGACTAACGCTGAATCTTCTTTGTCTATTCTTTGAAGATTTTGTATGTTGTGATAATATCTCCTCTGTTTCTTCCAAATGACGCAAGGTGTAATGATCTTTCCATGTAATTCATGCCTCTCAACTGTAAGATTTCCCGAGCGGCATATAACATCATACACCTCTTTCTTGTTATTGTAACGACACGTGACTGGTATAATACCCACCATCTGACTACGAACTATTGTCTCTCACAGGCTGGTACAGCCAGCATTCCACCCGCAGCTTCCTGACACTTGTGATGGGAGTTTGGGTGTCAACCTGTCTCACCCAGCCCCAAGATCACCGCCAACGGAGCCCGGGGCCCGTTCATGGCACCAGGGCCATGAACGTGGACCCCACCACCTCGACCACCGTCCCGGCCAGCGGCGCTGCTACACGGTGGGGCCAGACAGCCAACCTCACTTGCGGAAATATTCAGGAGGCGGTCTTAGACGCTAGGGTTCTCCTTGACCTGATCGACGCCATGAAAAATAATTACGTGAGTGTTTGTGCCTTGGGGAAGTCTGTAGGAGGGATTATGTTGTAACTTGTTCTTCCTTAGTAGCTATTTAACTCAGGTAGATACAGCAGCTATTTAACTCAGAAGATTATCACTGACAGAGGAATTTACACAAATTCCTACATGGAATGATTAGGTTAAGATCTACTTCTAATTGTTATATTATCCATTTTTTATAATATGTGCCAATATATCTTATCGCTCTAATGATAAGTCTTACTTTGTTTTATTTCTATATATTACTTTTCAAATTGTAAGGTAAATGTTACTCTCTCTTTATGTCTAAATTGTAAGATTTACAACGGCTGCACACCTGTTAGATTTACAATGGCTGCACACCTGTTAGATTTACAATGGCTGCACACCTGTTAGATTTACAATGGCTGCACACCTGTTAGATTTACAATGGCTGCACACCTGTTAGATTTACAATGGCTGCACACCTGTTAGATTTACAATGGCTGTACATCTGTTTAGTCCAGGCAGTATTGCAATGATTTGTAAAAGTTGTCACGAATATAGTTACTGATTGTTATTCTGATAAGCAAGCAGTACTAACACGAACACTGATACTGTACTTACGTGTGAATACTAACACGCACGTACACACACACACACGCGCACGCACGAACGTACACACACACACACACGCTCACACAAAGACAATATTATGCTTACATCAAGCCAAAACTCTATGTATTCGCATGGATTAGCGTTTCTTCCTAACAATTTTTTCTGTAATAATGCATTTAAATAATAATTCTAAAAACCATATTTAAAACATGTGCACAGTTTTGGGCGCCATGTTGCTTAATTGTATTTAGCGATAGGAATTTATGATTGTTTCTAGGTAAGAGTCCTAGGTAAGGGACTCGTGGGTAAGTCCCTCAAGGATCCTTCAAGGGACTTACTGCTGGAAAAGGCAATAATTGAGGACTTGTATCTTTCAGACACTATACGAGTTCGGTACAACTTGGGACACAATGGACGAACTGCTTATTGAGGCCAGAGACAACACCTCCTTACAGATCTGCGACGAGAACGGAGAATACTGCATGTTTGTGCTGCCTAACCTGCCTCCCCCGCCACACACACCACCAGCCACCGAGCAGGGCCTGAAACTTGCGCTCGTGTCTGTTCTGGGCTACGTCCAGCGCTACGCGGTAGCCTTCGAGACGCTGCTTTTAGACCAGACGCTGCATGAAGATATCTTCGCCAGTCAGATAGCAGAAGTCCACGCCTTCCTGGAAGACCTGATTGATACCCTCATAGCCACGGTGCTCCTGTGCGGCCTTCAGCCTGAGCAGCACCTCGTCAGGGACCTGTCTGTGCGGATGTATAAGGGCGGAGATACTGTGCTGCGCTCCGATAGAGGTTTTAGGGTCCTGCGCCAGGCTCGTAATGGACTCCAATTCATTATTGACGTTTTTGGAAACAATCCTCCGGTTCCCTAATCCGGTTCTTCTAATCTGAAACTCTTGACCTTATCACGAGACACATGTTATGGGTCTACCAGGTTGTCTGTGCTGGCGCTCTATTCACCCGGGGCCTGATTCACGAAGCAGTCACACAAGCACTTACTAACGTGTAAATCATTCCTCAATCTTTGACGGCTTTGGTTACATTTATTAAACAGTTTACAAGCATGAAAACTTCCCAATCAACTGTTGTTATTGTTATAAACAGCCTCCTCGTGCTTCGGAGCTCATTAACTGTTTAATAATTGTAAATAAAGTCGTCAAAGATTGAAAGAAAAGACGTACAGGTTCGTAAGTGCTTACGTAACTGCTTAGTGAATCTGGCCCCTGGTCTGTCTGCACGCAAAGACCTCCAGGCCCTGTTCATTCTTCCATAAAGACCGTTCGGTCAGCTCACTCCTGGCCCTATAAGTGTCTACACAAATCCAGGGATTGAACTCCTTACTAGGAATCAGATACTTCTTTCTAATGTTCAATCCCTGGACCTCAAAACTTTGAGAACTTCCTCGTGTCCGCCAGTACGCTCAGGTCCCAGGCACAGAATTACGCTACCTGGGAAGTAGATCGATTACGCTACCTGGGAAGTAGATCGATTACGCTACCTGAGAAGTAGATCGATTACGCTACCTGGGAAGTAGATCGATTACGCTACTTAGGAAGTAGATCGATTACGCTACCTGGGAAGTAGATCGATCTACTTAGGAAGTAGATCGATTACGCTACCTGGGAAGTAGATCGATTACGCTACCTGGGAAGTAGATCGATTACGCTACTTGGGAAGTAGATCGATTACGCTACCTTGGAAGTAGATCGATTACGCTACCTGGGAAGTAGATCGATTACGCTACCTGGGAAGTCGATCGACTACGCTACCTGGGAAGTAGATCGACTACGCTACCTGGGAAGTAGATCGACTACGCTACTCGGGTAGTAGATCGATTACGCTACTCGGGAAGTAGATCGACTACACTACCCGGGAAGTAGATCGACTACGCTACCTGGGAAGTAGATCGACTACGCTACCTGGGAAGTAGATCGATTACGCTACCTGGGAAGTAGATCAATTATCACTTTCACTGCTCACTGGGGAAACTGCCCTTACTGATGTCCCCTTCTCAGTCGTTAATCCTCAGAGTCACTGCTGCTTTAATCCTCACTATTATGTCAGTGACATTGTAAAACCATTCAATCACATTATGTAGTTTAATCCCCGGTAACTGATTACACTATATGTAGTCGGACCGGTATCAATCCCTGTATATGTAGGGTTTGGTTCTGCGTAATAATGTGTTATAAATATTGTACATTATTACACAATAATTACATATTATTAAACCCCCCAAAAATATGTGAATACTGGTTAGCACTGTGAGTGCTAACCAGTATTCACATATTTTTGGGGGGTTTAAAAATTTAATAATAAAATAAAGTTAATAAAGTTAATAGAGTTAATAAAGCAGAACAGAAAAAGATAATATTGCATGAAATTTAATTTTGTTCTTTTTTAGTTATTTCGATCTTTATTTTTGGGGGTGTATTTAATTTTTCTCAAATGACCTAATTGTCCCTAAGTAGAGTCTTATCTGTACAATTTCAGTGCTACTTAGATAACAACGCATTACCAGGTTCGAATTATATAACAAAGTTCTCAAGTCTTACTTCAAAAATATATTATATTAAATATAAATATATTAAATATTAATATATTATTAAATTATTATTAATTACTATTAATTAATATTACTATTACTATATATTATTAAATATATTAAAAATATATATATTAAATATATTATATTCAAAACAATTTAAAAAGGCATTTTAAATTAAGCTGTTCTGAATCCCTAAATGTCGGCTCGCGTCACTGCGTTAAATATATATTTGTAAACAACAGTAATGAGATGATGTAAACAACAGTAATGAGATGATGTAAACAACAGTAATGAGATGATGTAAACAACATCAGATTTGAGTGCACTTCTTCATTCATCCAAGTGTAAACAGAACCTAAAATCAACACGCAATTCTCTATTCAAAGTTCTGGAACTAATATCAACATGAGAATTTAATTAACTTGAAATTCTGAATATCCAAGGAAGTACAATTGAGTACTTTAACATACTAAAGTGACCGTACGGAGCCGGTCGGCCGAGCGGACAGCACACTGGACTTGTGATCCTGTGGTCCTGGGTTCGATCCCAGGCGCCGGCGAGAAACAATGGGCAGAGTTTCTTTCATCCTATGCCCCTGTTACCTAGCAGTAAATAGGTACCTGGGTGTTAGCCAGCTGTCACGGGCTGCTTCCTGGGGGTGGAGGCCTGGTCGAGGACCGGGCCGCGGGGACACTAAAGCCCCGAAATCATCTTATCACCTTAAGATAACATATGTATTTTTTTTATTTGTATTATTGTTGTCATTGCAAAGACGAAACCTATTGATTATTAATATTATTTTATATGTTTAAGATTGACACATAGAGGTGACTCGAAACACAAAGGGTTATTTTCTACAAGAATTTAACTCCGTTAATCTATAAGGTAATTCCATACAGCTTTGCATTGTGAAAATATAGGCATAGAAATTATAGAGAGAAAATATAGGCATAGAAATTATAGAGAGAAAATATAGGCATAGAAATTATAGAGAGAAAATATAGACATAGAAATTATAGAGAGAAAATATAGGCATAGAAATTATAGAGAGAAAATATAGGCATAGAAATTATAGAGAGAAAATATAGGCATAGAAATTATAGAGAGAAAATATAGACATAGAAATTATAGAGAGAAAATATAGGCATAGAAATTATAGAGAGAAAATATAGACATAGAAATTATAGAGAGAAAATATAGGCATAAAAATTATAGAGAGAAAATATAAACATAGGAATTATAGACTGAAAATATAGATAGGAATTATAGACAGAAAATAAAAGAGAGACAAAACAGAGGCAAAAAATATAAATAAAATAGAACAGAATAGAGACAAACAGGTAGAAATAAAAATCACCCAAACAAGCATTAACCACTACATGATAATTATATCCCTGAAGGGTTCCTTAATTACCAGGGTTAATACCCCTTGGAAGGGGGGGGGGGGGGTAGTGGTGACTGTAATGGTGGTATTGGTAGTTAAGATGGAAGATGGTAGTAGTGATAGCAACATGTCTGTAACAACCCTAATGGTACCCCGATGCTTGTAACACCCTCCACCCCCCCCCTAAGGTCACCCTAACACCCCCCCTCAGGTCACCCTAACCCCCCCCCCCCTCCCCAGGTCACCCTAACCCCCTCCTCCCCCCTTAACCGTGGACCAGAAGAATGAGCCAAAGCTAAAACTTGCCAAAAAGTGTCTTACACAATTGACAATAAAGCTTATTAATAGCGCAAGTTTGAATACTAAGAGCGCACTTAAGCTGCCGTAATATCGGCTTAATCTCTCTTATTGTCTTTCATTGGAATTTCTTACAGTAGAAGTTGGCCTTTATTGTGAAGCGCTGTTTATATTCTGCTAGAAGCTTAGATGTCTGTCTGCGCTTACTTCAAGATCTGATGTCTGTCGGCGCTTACTTCAAGATCTGATGTCTGTCTGCGCTTACTTCAAGATCTGGTGTCTGTCTGCGCTTACTTTAAGATCTGATGTCTGTCTGCGCTTACTTTAAGATCTGATGTCTGTCTGCGCTTACTTCAAGATCTGATGTCTGTCTGCGCTTACTTCAAGATCTGATGTCTGTCTGCGCTTACTTTAAGATCTGATGTCTGTCTGTGCTTACTTCAAGATCTGATGTCTGTCTGCGCTTACTTCAAGATCTGAGTCTGCGCTTACTTCAAGATCTGATGTCTGTCTGCGCTTACTTCAAGATCTGATGTCTGTCTGCGCTTACTTCAAGATCTGATGTCTGTCTGCGCTTACTTCAAGATCTGATGTCTGTCTGCGCTTACTTTAAGATCTGATGTCTGTCTGCGCTTACTTCAAGATCTGATGTCTGTCTGCGCTTACTTCAAGATCTGATGTCTGTCTGCGCTTACTTCAAGATCTGATGTCTGTCTGCGCTTACTTCAAGATCTGATGTCTGTCTGCGCTTACTTTAAGATCTGATGTCTGTCTGCGCTTACTTCAAGATCTGATGTCTGTCTGCGCTTACTTCAAGATCTGATGTCTGTCTGCGCTTACTTCAAGATCGGATGTCTGTCTGCGCTTACTTCAAGATCTGATGTCTGTCTGCGCTTACTTCAAGATCTGATGTCTGTCTGCGCTTACTTCAAGATCGGATGTCTGTCTGCGCTTACTTCAAGATCTGATGTCTGTCTGCGCTTACTTCAAGATCTGATGTCTGTCTGCGCTTACTTCAAGATCTGATGTCTGTCTGCGCTTACTTCAAGATCTGATGTCTGTCTGCGCTTACTTCAAGATCGGATGTCTGTCTACACACACACTTGCAATCTATTAAGAACTTGGGGATCCAGGGACACCCTCAGGGTTACAGGGACACCCTCAGGGCTACAGGGACACACCCAAGGTTCCAGGGACACCCTCAGGGCTACAGAGACACCCTCAGGGCTACAGAGACACCCTCAGGGCTATAGGGACACCCTCAGGGCTACAGGGACACCCTCAGGGCTACAGGGACACCCTCAGGGCTACAGGGACACCCTCAGGGCTACAGGGACACCCTCAGGGCTACAGGGACACCCTTAGGGCTACAGGGACACCCTCAGGGCTATAGGGACACCCTCAGGGCTACAGGGACACCATCAAGGTTATAGGGACACCCTCAGGGCTACAGGGACACCCACAGGGCTACAGGAACACCCTCAGGACACCCCCAGGGCTACTGGGACACCCGCAGGGCTCCAGGGACACTCAGGGCTCCAGGGCAACAGGGACATCCTCAGGGCTACAGGGACACCCACAGGGCTACAGGGACACCCTCAAGGCTACAGAGACACTCCCAGGGCTACAGGGACACCCTCAGGGCTCCAGGGACACCCCCAGGGCTCCAGGGACACACCCAAGGGTCTAGGGACAACCTTCAGGGCTCCAGGGACACCCCCAGGCCTACAGGGACACCCTCAGGGCTACAGGAACACCCTCAGGGCTCCAGGGACACCACCAGTACCGCAGGAACTTCACCAGTACGTCAGGGACAACCCAGCTACTGTAAGCATAAAGGACTCTCCTGCGAAAGGACATAAATACTTCAGGAAAAAAGATTCAGTACGTCAGCGAGAGTCCCTGTCTACTGTAAGCATATCGACTTGGAATCTCCAGGACGGACGAAAGGACGTAAATACTTCAGGAAAAAAGATTCAGAACCGAGCGAGAGAAGTGAGTCAACTCTCGCACCAGGAACGATCGAGGGCCTCAAGACTAATGACTCAACAGCCACAAATGACGAGGCAGCCCTCATCCAGACCATTAAAATACTGAACAAATATGAGGGCATTCCCGCCAAACACACACCGAAACTACGACGTTGGTACAACGTTCGAACAAGTTTTAACACCTCCTAACCAGTTATAACAACCAATATAGCAAGTTGTAACAACGTTCTAATACGTCATAAACACGTTAAGCCAAGATGTAACGACTTTATTACAAGTTGTAACAAGCGGAAAATAGAGACAGTTTCGGTTCGTGTTTCCAGGGTTAACTCAGACAAAATTCTTTA